TCTAAGAAGTTGTTTCAATATTTGACTCATATGTTTTAAAATAATGGGGTTGAAAAGTCTTTAGAATGTATTTGCTTTTAAGTATAGAATGAGATTTTACCTGGTTGGTGTGCTCAGTAGTTGAGTATCAACCCATGAACCAAGAGATCACTGATTAGATTCCTGGTGGGGGCACATGTCCGGGTTGCAGACTTGATCCCCAGTCGGGCTTGCACATTAAGAAGATAGCTGATTGATAATGTTTCTCTCTCACCGATGTTTCTATCTCTTTACTTCACTCACCTTCTCTCTCTCTTAAAACCAATAAAAACATATTTTAGAAAATAAATCTAGAAATGAGATCTTCAGTAAGCAACCTAAACTATTTGTGACACATACGTTTATCCTCCTTGATGATATTTACAGTTTCTATTAAAGAAAGGTTTACAGAATAAAAATGAAAAAATGAAAACCACCAGCAGTTCCCTTTGAGATGAGGGAAGGGGCATAGGATTCATATCCATGACACTTCATACCAGTGCGGCAGTAAATGCTGCCAGAGTGGTCTCATCCCTCCGTCTCCTTCAACCTTGGACTGTGTTAGATTTTACTCCTCTGTGGCTTATAAAGCATAATGCTTATTAGCTGAATATTATGCTCAGTTGTTACCATTAATTGCTTTGATAGTAAATCTGGGTAATAATATTCGGTTTGAAATAAGTTAAGAGCTGCTGTCGTGTTCTGGAGTCTGACTTATTAAGAGAAAAATACTCTCATCTGCTTAAAGAAGACAAACATCTATACTGAGGATAATCTCTATTGAAGCAAAATGTTATTTTTGGCCTCAATTCAATAGCTTAGATCAGAAAGAACTTAAATTTTACAGTAAGGCTAAATAATTTCTCTTGTACTAACTACATATTTATGTATGTCAGCTCTTCATTTCTTATAAAATATTAATATTCCCCTGAAACAAAAGAAAATAATGCAGGCAGTGAACGTGTCAGGACGGGGGTTATGTATTGCAGTTTTAAAAATGATCTCCTTTAGTTTTTTGTAATTGCTTGGTCAGGATAAGATTTTAACATTTGCCTTCCAGGACTAATTCTGAAGATGTA